CATAATTCATCGAAACTCCTAATGGACATTCGAAAATAATTAAAAAATTTGGAGCTATCCTCTCGTAGCTCATGAAATAATGTTACAAGTTCACCCATCAATTGTCTGTTTTCAAGTAGTGGATGAATCCAAAATCTTCTTGTTTTTTGTGTTTTTCTGCGATTATGCCATATCATTAGTAACAACATGCGTTTTTTTCTTTCGTCCATTTTGGTCATGTATCAAAACAAAACTAAACCGTGAAAAACCGTGTGCAGTGTGAACGCAAAGCAATATGAAATTACGGCACGGCACGGTTGCCGTTAGAAAACCGTCTGTGTGAAAGCAGGGTAATTGTATATGTTTTCGTCAAGAAACAGAAACAGTTTCATATAACGCCTTAAGATATGTAGCCTTGCGGTGTAACTCCACTATTAGGCTACATAGATAATAATTGTATTTCGTAACAGCAATAAAACATTTTCGATAGGTATTATTCAGTCTACCAACGAAAATAATAAAAGCGTTTGTGCAAAGAGATATACAGCTCATTCTAAAACTATAAAACCAAGGCGCTTCCATCCGTTTCATATGCAGTGTAGATCTTATATTTTTAAATTCACAAAACTCTTTAAAATTTTTATGATGTTACTCAGTTACTACGGTATTATTGTTTCAAATGCATAATAACAAGTGCACGGGTTTACTTATCTATCCATCTATCTACTAATAACGTTATAAAATCAACAAATGTAATCTACACGTTACTGAATAAATCTGTTAGGGAAAAATGGAATAATCAGTAGGTAATACTCGTATTACTGAAGAAAACAACTGCAATTGCCCCTTTCGATATTACGCGAGTCTTTTACAATGTTATTTCATTTATTAGTTTATGAAACATTTTGAAATAAATAAATTGAATTTATGTTTAATTTATGGAGTACGATTATACTTCTGTCACCTGGAGCAGTTGGGGAAATAGATGCACTGAGGTATTATTTTGTTAGCATCATATGATCGTCAGTCCTAGGGCTGGTTGGACACGCACCTGAGCAAATCTTAGCATTTTCCTAAAACTAGAACATTCCACATCCTTAACTATTTGCGAAGAGTAATCTAATCTAGGTCTACCTCTGGTCCTCCTAACTCCTGTTTCTGCCTTTAATATGTCTGACTAGACCTTCATGCCTGAGAAGATGTCCTACCAACTTATCCCGACTATCCTTTATTGATTTCTATAGAGTCCTCTGTTCTTCCATTCTTTCTAATACCTCTTCATTTCTAACCTTCTCTATCCACGGTATCCTCATCATTCGCCTATAACACCACATTTCGAACGCTTCTAACCTTTTCTTTTCCACCGCACCCCCGGTCCATGTTTCGCACCCGTGCAGTGTCGCGCTCCATACATATACCTTTATAATCAGCAATTACACTAAAAATTTTAAATATAATATTATGAAAACAAAAATGAAGAATAGAATAGACAAGTTCATGATTCTAGGTTTACATCATGTCAAGTAGTGTGTTACGAGGTATTTTAAAATGTCCTGTGCCGTGAAATCTGCGAGGAGCGGACCGTATTTTATTGAAGTGTAGAAATCATGAACTAACGGATATTTGTCATTGCGTATCCCAAGGTCATGGTCCACTACCTCTACCGACGTTTTTGGTTTCGAAAGTTTGAATGATAACGGGTACGAGAGGAATGGTAGTGGGGAAGAAGAAAGCGGTGAAAGAAAATATTTCTTCGATGATTGATTCAAAAAGAAGAAAACTAATTTTTAAGATTATTCGACGAAATTTTACTGAAGTTCCTCCTGATATTGGCAGGTGTTAAAACCTCTCACTCTTCAGAAATATAAAAATCAATGTTTGACCTTATTCCATAAAATGAGAGAATCACCTTTCCCCATTAGAAGAGATCTTTTCCTAGTCCCCCCTCTCATTCCCCGATTCCCGTGCCTCACCCCTTACCGCTGGATAGATACTAAATTATGTATTCAAAATAACAGGCTTATGGAGTAACCTTAGAAATTTCCCCTTTTTCTTTCTTTTTTTTGGTTTCACTACCTTCCAGTTAGTGGGTTTGTTCCTTCCTACTCTCCCTCTCATACAGGCTAGAATACCGGAAGTTATCAAAACAAATTATTTTCCTGATTGGATATATAATAATAAAGTCCGCAACGATTAATTTAATAATACAACTCAGCTAACAATAACACAATTGGAAGATTGCACTTAGGTCACTGACATATTTATAATTTGTAGGAACTAATCTAAAAAATAATGGCAACAATACGTTGAACACATTTGCGATAAAGAGAATACAGTTCGTGGTAAAATAAGTATATTTTATAAGATCTAAACTTGGTAGATAGCTTTTACTCATTCTGTTTTATTCCCTTTTTTTACGTAGGTCTCCCTGTCGATAATACAATAATTTACTTGCTGGACAGTGATTTCCGTCCCGTAAAAACGGGCGAAATTGGAGAGCTGTTCGTCTCCGGTCAAAATCTTGCCTCAGGATATGTTAATGGACGGGACCCTGAAAAATTTATAGAAAATCCCTTAGCTGTAGATCCGACATTTGGAAAGTTATACCGAACTGGAGATTTTGCTCGTATTCAGAAGGGCATTTTATTCTACGAAGGACGAACGGATTCACAAGTGAAAATCAGGGGACACAGAGTAGATTTATCGGAAGTGGAAAAAGCAGTAAACGCCATCGAAGAAGTTGATAAGGTAAATTTTACAGCAGCATTTATTAGAAGTCGAAAATCGTACTTTTTCTACATTTAAAATGAACACAGCTTTGCCTATCATTCGGATACACTTAAAGTAATCTAAGTTGCGTTTTTTTTTGTGAAAAAAAGAATGTTGGCAAAATGATATGCTTGATCGTTTTCATTAGTTCTATGTTCATACAATAATTAAATTTTCAGGTAACATTTGTAAATATTTATACTTGTAAACATGCTTAGGTATACGAAACATCGTGATTACCGAGCGGCATGGCCTAGAGGTTTAGATCATTACTTGGCATTCGGGAGGACTCCGGTTCGATTCTGGGCCCGTCTGCCTTGGTTCAAGTATTTCCGTGGCTTCCTTGGGTCACTTAGGTAAACGCTGGGGTAGTGATAGTCCACAGACAATCTTTCGTTCTCTTCTGTCTTCATTTCGTTCGTCTCATCTTTCTCACCCGAATCACCACACACCCATTCCCACGATTCCTGAAAAGAGACTCAAGAGGGTCTTCCGCCCTAGCTTCTGGCGTAGCCCGGGGGAACTGTCCGCCCACCACCATTAGTGGCTAGTGGGAATGAAACACCCTAGGGGTTTTTTAGTTTTATGGCCCAAAGCAGGAGTCGGCAAACAATTAAGCTGGAAGAACCATTCACAATAAAAATATTGCCAGGCTCCGACTTGTTGTATAGGTTTTGAACGTTGTGTAATTGGACCGAGCGGCATGGCCTAGAGGTTTAGTCCATTACATAACATTCGGGAGGACCCCGGATCGGTTCCGGGTCGGTCTGCCTTGGTTTAAGTATTTCCGTGGTTTCCTTAGGTCACTTATAGGCAAATGCTGGGGTAGTAATAGTCCACAGACAATCTTTCATTCTTTTCTGTCTTCATTTCGTCCGTCTCATCTTTCTCACCCGAATCACCACCCACCCATTCCCACGATTAGAAATATTGCTACGAATTTTTAATTCGGCTTTTACATTTCATTTCAAAATTGTATCGAATACATTAAATTAAACCTTAAATTTCTCTTTGGTAGATCAGGTACATAGGTGGTAGTTTTTAGTTTAAAACTTGGCTCTTTTTGATTAGTTATTTGGTTTCTTAGCTTGTTCTTTATTAAATTCATAGAATGGAAAACTTGCTCGCACATATGTGTTTACAATTAGGTCATAGCATTCCGACAGACTATTCGAATATCAAAATTTTGTGCCTTAAACTAGGTATCTCTTTCAGATCTGTCCACTTATGCTGCGATATCAAAAGGCATTTATACCTTTCCAGCGCTTCTAAGCTACTAGACATGTGAATTTCTAACTCCACAAATTTTTGCTTTTTAAATCTAGTAATTGGATTTCGAACGAACTAACAGTCATATTAAATGGAATAAAAGCTAGTTTTAGCCGTTTTCTTTGAGAGGATGTAAGTCAAGCTAGGCTTATTACTTTTGAACTTATTATTAAATCGTTAATCAAAGCCACCCTTAATTATTTTGGTTGTTCTTGTGAAGTAACTATTAGTGTTAATGGAATCATCAATCCCGATGATTTTTGAAGGTTTAAAAATGTAATAATGTGCCCATCTTTATATTTTCTGGCAAAAGAAGGGATTTATTTTCAAAAACAACTACTTTTTCTAGTAATGAAAATGGAGTATTTCCTTTTTAGTGGTTCCATTCCGGGTTCGTCTGTACTGATCAAAATTTTTCTGCGGTTTCCTTGGATCACTCAGGCAAATGCTAAGGCAGTAGTATTCCACAGATAATTTTTCACTCTCTTCTGCCTTCATTTCGTCCATCTTATATTTCTCGTCTCAATCACCCCCCCCCCTTTCCACGGTTCCTAAATGGCGGTAGAAGCAAGCCTTATGTCTTACCCTTCGGCATCGTCCGGAGGGATTCCAGTCTACTAGCTTAAGTACTTGCTAGGAATAAAACACCCAAAAGTTTTTAAAGAAAATTTAGTATCTTGATCGGTGATTTAATGAAACTCCCCATTGCGTGCTGGTGAGATCGAAAAAGATCAAAATAGCGGTCCACGTCAGGTAATAGTTTCGATAAATAACTGGCCAAAAACTTACTCCGTTCGATTCAACTGGTCAAGTGCATATTACGTAATTACCTTAGTAAGGTTCTTGTTTAATATTTACAATACTTCAGTTAGCAGTAAGGACCATTGCCGTAATTCTATTGGATTTCTAAAGGCTGAATTTAACCTTAAGTTGATGTATAATATTTTGCTAACACTCTTATGTTTGATTTTTTAAAAGCATGCTTTCATGCATAATTTTAAGCGATTTTTTCAGAAAATTACAAATTAATTACATTGCAATATTTAGAATTGAATTTAAAATTAGCTAACACTAAATTTTTATATTTTGAAATATTAAAACTCCCAAAAGTCTCAAAATAATTCACTGTATATAAATGAGGAACTAATTCACCGCATCTTCAGTTGAATTTATGAAACTATATGTTATTATTACATATTTAATATTTAAATATATTATATTTGCCTTTTTTATTTAAGGGAATAGTTATTTGCTACAAACCTGGTGAATTAAATCAAGCACTCCTGGCATTTGTTACCACAGAAGCTAATATTAACGAAAACCACATAGAGTCTATTCTTAGGGACCAACTTGCCCCATATATGGTTCCTAGAGTAGTTATTATTGAGACAGTTCCACTACTTGTTAATGGAAAGATCGACAGGCAGTCTCTATTGAGGAATTTTGAAAACAGCGATTCTATTAATGGTAACGTTATTATCTAGATTACATATAACTTATTCCTTTAACAATTTTATCATAAGAAATACAGTTTTATGCTTTCGTTAGTCTTTCTGAGATATTTACATGAGTGCATATTGCATATTCTACCTTTTTCTGGTGCTGAATTTAGAAAGTACAATAATCTGACTGCAAGATTTTTTTTATTAAAAAGTACATAATACTTGTAAATATTTCTTGTTGCTGAATATTTATCATTTGATTAAAATTATATGCCTAGGTTTATGCGGCTAACATTGTTTGACAAACAACTATTGGATGATTTTACTACTAATTTTTTATATCCTGACTGATCACATTTAGTATCCACTCAGCTATAACGTTTCTTCTTATAGACTTTATATTTTTTACACGTTCTTTTAAATTATTGAGAGATTGCGTTATGTCATCAGCATAGTTTGTGTAAATTAATTCGAAAATTATCTACCTGAGAACAACATAACATTGAACTCACTTGTAATGTAGAAAATTCTTATAAATCCGAATGTAAGTTTGTTTGTTATCATTTCACCCCTTAACTACTCAACTGATCACGTATGCACTGTAATAAGAAGCGAGGGGTATGGAAAAAGACAGCGCTAGCTCTGTCTGTGATGCCAGGTGTGAGAGAGACTATACTCTCTAGCATAGACATATATTGATGGACGTGCCTTAGCCGTATGTCGTTGTAATAATTTCTTGGCTCGAAAAGAGTGAGGGAGATGGCGTATGGTTTCGGACTAGTGTTATCTCTTTCATGACACGCTTACGCACTATCGTGAGAGAGATGGATATTGTCCGAATATCGAGACACCACTTATTGAGAGATTCGAGTCTCTCGTTCAGAGATTCGAATCTCGTTCAGAGACTGGATACGAAATGAGAATCTCTCTATGAGCGACTCGAGTCTCTCGTTTAGGCTGGATACGAAATGAGAATCTCTCTATGAGCGACTCGAGTCTCTCGTTCAGAGACGCTAAACAGTTTTTTTGGCAGTCTCTGGACGGTCTCTCTAAGCGACACCAGAGAGATTCGATGAAAGACGGAAACTCGAGTCTCGCTTTCAGAGACTCTGAGAGACTGAACATTTTTATCTCGGGAAACTCTGCTAATTTTGTGCCTTCGTATATTGCTTGTGTCCAATTGCTAACTAAGTTCTTTAAAAATGAATGATAATTTCTGTCAAAATTTAGGAAAGGTCATTCCTTAATCATCTGAAATTGTGGGTGTGTTCCGGTGAAACGCTGGCAACGTCACTTGCCGAAGAATTCTTCGCTTACTTCACCAAAGGAGACCACAAACTTTGCAATTTCTATGGCAGCACTGAAGTAATGGGTGATGTCACTTACCACGTTATGAGTAATTTGGACCAAGTAAAACAATACGACAAAGTACCCATTGGTAAGTTGGCTATGCATTCATGTACAATTTACACTAAGATATGTTTATAGATCACTAGAAATAAAACTCAAAATTAATTTATGATTTTCCATCATGTAAACGTGGACATGGTCAATCATGTTTCATGATCACACCGTTGTCTGTTCAAAGACTGGTTGAACACGCACCTACACTGCTTTCTGTAGTTAACCAGGTTCTTTCTCCATCGAAAATGAATATTTCCGATACAACACAATTTTAGTTTGGTAAAATAGTAAAAAAATGCGCTGATTCTGAATTTCGTTATTCGCAATCTGAGATATTTGAGGCAACACTTTTTAATTTAACAATTGGTGAAATCATCGTTTATCTATTATACAGCTCCTTTTTTTTTTTCAATTTCTGAATAATCATTCACTTCATCATCATCATAAAATCGTCAGTCCTAAGACTGGTTGGACACGTACCTCCACTCTTTCCTATCCTGAGCTTAATTATTTCGCATTTCCCTAAAACTAGAACAACCTACATCCTTAACTATTTGCGAACAGTAATCTAATCTAGGTCTACCTCTACCGCTCCTAACTCCTGTTTCTGTCTCTAATATGTCTTTGACTTGACCTTTATGCCTGAGATAGTGTCCTACCAACCTATCCCGCCTATTTTTTATTGACTTCCATGGAGTCCTCTGTTCTCCTATTCTTTTTAATACCTATTTATATCAAACCTTCTCTATCCACAGTATCCTCGTCATTCGCCTGTAACACCACATTTCGAAGGCTTCTAACCTTTTCTTTTCCGCCGCGCCCACTGTCCATGTTTCGCACCCGTACAATGCCATGCTCCAAACATACACCTTTAACATCCTTTTCCGAATTTCTAAATTAACCGTTCGCGAACATATAAGTGACTTCTTTTTATTAAATGTGACACGACCCTGCGCTATCCTCTGCTTTTTATCCCTACTGCTCCTTCCGTCCTGACTTATCTGACTTTCTAGATATTTAAAATCAGCCACATCTTCTAATTTTTCGTCTCCTATCTTCATTTTTCTTTATATTTCCCTACTTTTCTTCCCTAGACCAGAAAAAAATTCTTTATGTTTAAAACGACTCGGTCCTGCTCCTTTTTTGTTATATATCTATGTCATTTATTCCTTTAACTGATCTCCCGGGCATCGATAATTGACAGTGGCGTAGCGTGAACGGGGGGAGCAAAGAGTTCCATGGCCCCATGTGACGCAAATGTGAAGTATGGTAAAAAAATTTTTTTCGTTATTAAATAGAGCATTAGACGGTAATGTTTCCTGGTATTTGTAAAAGTTTTTAACAATTTGTACTATGTACCAGACACTACCAAAACTTATTGCTTAAAAATACCAAAATTTTTGTTTTACTCAACCCTGTATTTAACCGTAAAAACGGCATAGAATAGGTGCTACGATTATAAAACGTTACAATCATAGGAAAAGCATGCCAAAAAGGAAAATAAAAAGTACAGGCGGTGTATATATAGTTGCTAATGTTACTGGAGCATTTCGTGTGTTGGACGAAACCTTAGTATGGTATTATCATCATGCCTAACTGAATAAATGAGGTAGCTTACATACGTGATAGTCACGCATGCGTTTAACTGATTGGTCAGAAATCTATCAAAACCATTTATTACTGATGAGACCTAATAATATCGAAATCTCGATCCGGTGTTATTTCTGACCAAGAACGTTCGTATAAATTTCACCTATATAAACAAGACATTTTATATGTTCTATTCAATCTAAATGATGCAGAATCTTACATTTAATAATTAAATAATTACGAAAAATCTCGAACTTACAGCAAATGGTTGGAAGAGTCGCAAGACGTATCACATTTCGAGAATGAAATATCACTTTTTTAACGGATATACGATATAGCAAACCAGATGGAAATTCAGCCTGATTTTCCTAAAACTTCAAGGAGAAAATGAGTATGAAAATACGAACCAGTAACTAATGCTAAACAATATAAAATTTATTTCTTTTTCGCAATTTAGACATAACTGTATACTTATTTACAGTGAAATTGGTACAAATTTTAAACTTATTCTAATTGTAAGTTTAAGGGAAATTATTATGTAATAATGTAAAGATATGGATATAAAAACTTATGCATCTGTCAACGATAAAAATACAGAAAATCGGCATACGTAAATGATGGAATAGCACTCTATTTTTGGAATCAAAATCATTACAATTGTTTATAAAACTTGAGATAGGTCTTCGTTTTATTCTGAGGTGTGTTTGTAAACGAAATAAATTGTATGAGACTACAGCAAATTTAGAGTAATTGTTCTCAACTAAATTAACACTTTTTGAATTTAATTAATCATTTTGTTGTCAAATCAAATCTTGTAAAAGAGCACAAAATTTCATTTCCACTCAAGTGATTGTGACAGAGTATCTTTTGGTAATAGATAAAAAAAAATAAAATCGTAGTTTTCAACATCCTTGTTTTGAAATTTGTCGGTCACAGTAGCACTGTTACATAATTTAGAGAAGTAATGAGTTAGTACCTAATAACAAAATTTGTGAAGGAAGTTTCATTCGTTGGTAATTAAACAATTTGGGATTGGAGAAAAGTAAATTGGGATACTCTAAAACATTAGTTCGCGGCCTGAATAACACAAAAATACCAAAAGAATATAACAAAAAAAAATTTTTGGGTGTTTCATTCCCACCAGCCAGTAATGCTGGTGGGTGGGCAGTCCCTCCGGACTGTGCCGGAAGGTAGGGCGGAAGGCCCTCTTCAGCCTGCTTTCAGGAATCGTGGGAATGGGTGGGTGGTGGTTCGGGTGAGAAAGTTCAGACGGACGAAATGAAGACAGAAGAGAATGAAAGATTATCT